TACACTGGCATGATTTTGTGCAAATACTTTTAACGGAAAAGTTTTCCATTAAAAGTATTTGCGCAAGTTAACATCTAACATCTATACTGGCATGTGCTTTTGCGCAAAAGCATCCGTGCCAGTGTAGATGCTCTCTTGCGCAAGAAAGCTCCAATGGCCATTTTAGCCATTGGACTTTCTTGCGCAAGAAATTAACATTGCCTGTCTACACTGGCCTCTTGCGCAAGAGGGCTTATCCCTGAGCGGCAGCGGCAGAGTATTTGCGCAAGAAGCACTGATTTCGTACATTAGAACATCAGTTTACTTGTGCAAGAACACACGGCCAGTGTAGACAGGCAGCAAGGTTTTGCCCAAAAGTGTTATTCACATAGTTGCACAGAGATATAGCCCTTTGATAATGTGAAGCTGTGGTAAGTAGCTTTATAAAAAGGATTGAAAGGATGTGATTTTTATGCGTAAATGTCAGTAAACACCAATTTCACTGTACACACCAACCAGAGGAAATATATTTGAAATAATAGACATTTTCAAATAGGCAAAGTAAGAAAAATGTTGCTTGAGAATTTAGTTCTTTATTTCTGTGTATATTTTTGACATGTGATGTTGACAATTTGTGTTTCAATGGTTATAAAGCTTTAGCTTTTTGTATCATTAAATAGTCTGTCAATTACCTTCCCATTGTCTAAAATCAATTATAATTTCCTGCAACTGTGAAAATTTAAAATGGAAAGTTGAAAAGAAATTTAAAATAAACATTGAAATTATCCATCAGAATTATTTAAAAAATAGAATTCTGCCAAACTTACTTAGAACCATGAATTGAGACAAATTTCTGAAGTATTGTCAATTGTGGCCAAGCTGAGGGGTCCATCGCTTATTGTTTAATATTGTGTAGCTGCTTCTCATCATATAGAAAGATGATGCTAGGTGGCGCTACATACCCTCTGCTAAAAAAAAGTCAATTGAAAAATGCAAAAGGAACAAAAGCTGGCTTACAGATGCTTGCACATCTATTTGGTGAGATTGTAGCTCTAAGGTTGTTGTGGGTTTTTCTAGTATGTTTGTTTATTTTCACTGTGGGACTAAAGAGTTGCCAGGCTTTTTTCTGCACATAGCTTGCACATCATATTACAGCATTGGTGTCTAAGATGCCACCTCACTGGCTAAAACTTTCCCTGTCTGCGAGTTATGGTTCAGTAAGTTATTTAAGGCAAAGAATGTTATAGCTTCTGCCTAGAAGCAAGTAGAATCGTGAAGCCTTGTCCATCCTTAAGAATTTTCAGCATTAACTATGCCAGCAGCAACTCCCACCCCCCAGCATAGATGCAGTTATCCCAGTATAAAAGTGTTCTCTGATATAGAACATTCCAGTTTAGCAAACTGTAGCGGCTGTGTCTAGACTGGTCAGTTTTTCTGGAAAATCAGCCACTTTTCCAGAAAAACTTGCCAGCTGTCTACACTGGCCACTTGCATTTCCGCAAAAGCACTGACGATCTCATGTAAGATTGTCAGTGTTCTTGCGGAAATACTATGCTGCTCCCATTCGGGCAAAAGTCCTTTTGCGCAAAACATTTGTGCAAAAGGGCCAGTGTAGACAGCTCAGATTTGTTTTCCGCAAAAAAGCCCCGATCGCGAAAATGGCGATTGGGGCTTTTTTGCAGAAAAGCGCGTCTAGATTGGCACGGATGCTTTTCCGCAA